CCTTACTGACATAAATGAACATTTGCACGATATTCTAATTTTTCGAGTTTCACCTGTATGAGCAGTTTTATGTCCCCCAGATGGTCTTGGATTGCCATTCTTTTAAGTCAACAGTTGGATCCACTAACTGCTGTATCATAAAGACAGGATTTAAAGAATGATTCACACTTTTGGCTGTATAGACTTTCACAGGCAAAAGCTTTCAAAGAATGCTCAGTCCTGAGTACATCCAAGAATACCATTTGCCTTTTCAGTGCATAAGAAGGGAAACTGTTTATCTTACCTGGTTTAACTATCCTTGGCTAACTCAGACCCTTCCAAATGTCAGCCAACATTTCTTGGTAGGTGGAACAATATTTCAGCCATAGGATTTCTAAATATATTTATGACACAACATCCACCTTACCTGCTCATGGAGATCCACCATGAATGGATGCTGGTGGGATGCGTGTGCCGCTGGGTGAAGCATTCGTGGTGGCGTGGTGGCCAGAACATACGCTGGGTGCTCATCTACAGAGACTTGTGGCTGTGGCTGCTGCTGCTGGAAAAAAGCCGGGTGCAAGTAGTTCTCATCCTGGGCTAGGAGAGTTTGTAGAGGTCGCTCACGTCGGCCCCAGTGGTGCCGGAAAGGAGGGCTGTGGAGCCAGTTGTGGGGAAAGAAATATAGAGGGGTGACCCTAGGGGCTGGCCACTTATCTGTGCTGACCTCTTAGCTATGAATACACCGATTTTTAATGTCAAGGCTAGGCCAACATAGTAACATTACAGGGGGGTGAAGGCAGGACCAGCTGCTCGTGCAGCAAAATTAGGACACAAATGCTGTCACTGCATTTGAATATACTGATTGTACAGCACCACTGCCAGGATTCTGCTACGTGTCATTCCTTCAATCTACAGTGAGAAAATGCCAGGAGAAGAAATGCACAGAGCTCTGCAACCTCACTCAGTTTCTAAGATGTCATTCCACAGGTACCCTCCTCAACATGACAAGATTCCAAGCAACTGGACAGAATCACCTCATTATCTAGAAGTAGGAATGGTCATGAAATACAAGTTTACTATGGATGGTTTATCCACTGAGTGAATGTTTATTTCCAACCATCTCTGATGTCTGTCCCATATCAATAGTAATGCGACTGTAACAACTTGGCAGTGGATCTATAAAAGATTTCTTGTTGAAGATCCATAAAGCTTTTCATCAGAAACCGAACAGTGCTACACTGGCGTTGTTATGGAAGGCAGTCACAGCAGGTGACAGTACCTAGCTGACCCTGAATGATTTCAGAACAACTGGAGGGCTGTAGAGGTAGACCTGTTTAATACTGAGATGGAGACCGCAAGGAAATCCTAGAGCCACTGACTAGACTGGGAAGTCCAAAAACACCCTGGAAGAAGGCAGTGATGAAACACTTCTATGAAGTTGCCAAGAAGCTAACATGGGCACTAGTCATCAAGAATTGAGGCAAATTTCACATTTACTTTAATATGGAATTTAGTGTTGCTGTTTTAAACTACATACGAACTCTTTAAAAATTAGAGGTGTCATCTGCAGTCATGCAGCAGAACTGAATCTCTGTGGTACGTTTTAAGAAGGCACACCAAGCCTCTGAATTTCCTGAAGCCCATGAGGAGAATGCTGGTTTGCACTGATGATCAACATAGTTAAAAGGTGAAGCGCTATACCTTCTCCTGAGGTATGCTGGATCGCTACAGCTCTCCCCTAGGAATCGTTGCTGGTCAAATGGGACAGGAGGCCGCCTATTCACTGCCGGTTCCCATGGTCGCATTGGGGATGTTCACAAGGCAAAAGGTGATGCTGGACCTCACACTCCAAACACGGTTCCACGCTGGTTCTTTGCGATCTGCAAAAAGCGAGGAAACAGCATTTGAACACAGCCCCTTTAACAAAAAGAGTTTTAAGTTTCAAATCAGAACAGCCTCTGGAACAGTTATGCTAGCAGGACATCACTGGCAGGCTGCAACACAGCAGCAGATGGTGAAAGGCTCTCCACATACTGAGCGACAGGCTAAGCCTGTCTTCACATTACACGGTCTCCATTTCAAAGTTCTCCCTGAATATCTAACCCCTAATAATTTTGACCTGTTGTTCTTTTCATTTCTCTGCCTTTTCTGCTTCCTACCTATCATTCTCTTCTACCACTTTTAATTAAATCTAGCTGTGAATCCAATTTTATCCGTTCCTTTCTTTTAAGAAGCTCAGAGCACTCCCACTTAATCCTCAGGACAACCAAGAAACATAACTTAAAATAAAAGACAGCAAATGGGCCAAGGCTACCAAGAAAACCTGTGGCTGACAGGATTTAAACTTAGAACTTTCCAGCTGATATCCAACATTTTTCACTCAGGAGGGAAGATTATAGAAGCCATATCCTAAGAGAGAGATACAATAGCAACAGCACAGAAGATAGGCTGAGTCCTAGATTGTGTCATTCATTAATACAGTTTTACAGGTAGTCTTCACTTAATGACCACAATAGGACCGGAAAATTGATTGTTCAGCGGGGTGGTTATTATGCGAATTGGACCCGATTTTACAACCTTTTTTGCGGCAGTCATTAAGCAAATCACCATAGTCATTAAGCAAATCATGCGGTTGTTAAGTGAATCCAGCTTCCCCCATTGACTTTGCTTCTTGGAAGCCCCCCGAGGTTGCAAATGGCGATCATGTGATCCAGGGACACTGCAACCATCAGAAGTGCGAGCTGCTTGCCAAGTGCCTGGATCGTGATCACATGACCAAGGGGGCGCTGGGATGGTTGTAAGTCATTTTTTTCAGCACCATTGTAACTTCAAACAGTCGCTAAACAAATGGTTAAATGAGGACTACTTGTACTTGATATTTTTTATTGTATATCTCATATACAGTTACCAAGTTGATCAAGTGGAATGGTCATTTGTAGTGACTGTTTTGGAGAGGGAAAGACAAACGGCCCAACAGAACAACTCATAGATCAAGTCTGACCATACAATGAAATTGCTACATAATATTAGCAAAGCAAATCCTCAAAGTTCTGCAATGATAACCATGATTTGCTCCATGCCTGTTATTTATTCCAGCACAATCTGGATTAGGTATCATATGCTAGGAAGCTACATCCATAGCCTCATTTTAAAAACATAAGAATATACTGATATTCTAATGTCACTTTACCCAGCAATCATCTTTTAGGGTAGGCTGCCTATGATTCAGGTGGTGATATACAATCATCAATATTAGAAGATAGAGCCTATCCTCCACAAACCTCTTCAGACTCTTTTTAAAACCACTCAAATTAGATACCATTACAACTGCTGGCAGTGAATTCTACAGTTTAACCATGTACTGTGCAAAAAAAACCCGCATTTCATTGTTAGTCCTGAATCACCCTGCATTTATTCATTGGATGACCTCGAGTTCTAACATTGTGATCAAAAGACTGGACTGAGTTGCTATAATATTTCCTCAGAGGAGAGGGGCTTCAGCTTAATAAATAATAATCCTTAACAATTTATTTGCCCTTTTTGCATCTTCTCTTAAAGTGTGGTAACCAGAACCATAGACAATACTCCAAGTAAGGTCTCACTTAAGATTTGTATCAGTACACTATTATATTGGCAGTTTTATTTTCAATTTCCTTCCTAATGATTCCAAGCATAACATTTGCTTTTTTTTTTTTTTTTTACAGCACCTGCACAGAGGGTTGATATTTTCCTCAAGTTGTTACCTCTTGACTCCAAAATCTCTTTCCTGGTCAAGTTACTATCTGTTCAGGTCCTGTTAAGGTACAGATGAAGCTTGGATCTTTCATGTCAGCATGCACTATTTTGCATTTGTTCATCCTGAACCATATTTGCTATTTGGAAGCCCATTCACAGAGTCTGAAGAAACCTTTTAGAACTCTTCTCAAGCCTTTGTTGTTATTGTTGCATCGTAAGCAAAGATGTGAGTTCATAATTTAATCCCCTCTTTAGGTACAAGTTAAAAAAACAGGTCCCAACATGAATCCCACTTTACTCATCTTGCCAGTACACTGCATGCACAATTATTAGGCAAGTGAGTATTTTT